CTTTGGCTTCATTTCAATAAAAAGCAAGATGACTTAATAATGTGTTAATGAGTCTTCTGCAGCAGCAGAAAGTGAGAGGTGGGTGTTACATACGATGTGTTAGGAAGTCTGTGTTTTCCTGTTCTGGGCTGAGATTCTAGGCCAGTACACAGAAAGGGCAGCTCTGGTTGGGCCAAAATGTCTCGATGCGGCCTGTGTTGCCAGCTGTTAGGGCAAGATGAAACACTGCCTGGGGTGGGGACACTGCTCCTGAACCTCCTTCTCACTGCAATTTCCAGGGCACAGAACAGGCCCCTCTCCTGGGTTGTGGCCCCAGGACTGTCTGAGGTCGACAGCCCCTGTGATGAGGACATAGGGTGGGTCTGAGCTCACAGCTGTAAGGGAGGAAAAGTCACCTCAGGAGGCAGGTCAGCCCCCAGAGCACTTTGGACTTCCTATCCCTTAAAACTCAGAATTTTCACAGTGTGTGCCACTGGCCTCATATCCACGGAGCATGAGTCTCCAGGCTTCCTCCTGTCCTGGTGAAGGGCTTTCCGGGAAGTACCTGATGTTGGGCCTGTGACCTGGGCTCTGCTCCAGCGAGTTCCCAGAGGAGAGGGAACCGCCATTCCTGAGTGCCTTGCCTTCTGTATGCTGCTCTGTGCTCACTGGGAAAAAGGACAAAGGCCCACAACATGTGCACTCTTCAGGGGGTGCGTTGGTTGTTCTTAAAAAGGAAATTGGTACAAATGAGCTTAAATGAAGCAGAATTAAGGCTGGCAGACAGGTAAACGAGATGGAAAGGGCAAGCGAACAATGACGATGGAGTCCAGATGTGGGGGTGCTGGATCTTCGGGCAGGACAGGAATGCAAAATTTCAGCCTTAGGGCAGAGGAGGCCTGGGCCACAGCGGACTGTGGCCTGGGAATTTCAGTTCAGTTCCATTAAAATGGAGTGCCTATGAGGCAGCTGGCGTGTGCTAGGCACTAGGACAGCGGTGAACATGACACCAGGCCCTGAGCTAGGGGGTCTGATGTTCTAGTGGGCAAGGGAGAGAAAATAAGATTTCAGTTAATGGTAATAGCTGTGTGAGCAGTAAAACGTGTGTGTGAGCACATGTGTACGTTCATGTGTGAGAACAGGGAGGCCTCTATGAAAGAGGGGACACTGGGGATGGTCATTAAGGACCAACATCATCTTCCTCCCTTCCTATGGGAAGGAAACACTCAGTGCTACACTAACAAAACAGTTACCCTTCCTATTAAATAGAACAATCCTTCCTGGGGCCGGCCGGGTGGCTCAGTTGGTTAAAGCGCGAGCTCTGAGGAACAGGATCACCGGTTCGATTCCTACATGGGCCAGTGAGCTGAGCCCGAACTGAGCTACCACTGAGCTGCCAATGGGCGGCCGGATGGCTTAGCTGGTGAGAGCATGTGCTCTTAACAACAAGGTTGCCGGTTCGACTCCCGCATGGGATGGTTGGTTGCGCCCCTCCTGCAACTAGATTGAAAGTGGCGACTGGACTTGGAGCTGAGCTGCGCCCTCCACAACTAAGACTGACTGAAGGACAACAACTTGACTTGGAGCTGATGGATCCTGGAAAAACACAATGCTCCCTTCCCCAAATCCCTAACACTGTTCCCTTCCCCAATTCCCCAATAAAATCTTTAAAAACAAACAAAAACAATCCTTCCTGCTAGTCCAACAGCACAGTTTGGGAGTCCACAACTAAACTGTACATGGGGTGAGGGGCATGGCTCACAGATGCAGTAACAGAGGGACTTCTCAACTCTGTCAGCCAAATGGGGAGGGCAAGATTCTATCACTTCCTGAGCAATTGCTATGTTGCTCATACGAGGTCGGACAATTAAGTTTGCAAACTCATCCTGAAAAAAGTGCTACATACCTAATTGCTGAATATTACTACAGTCACCTTCGAAGTACTCCCCTTGGGAAGCTATGCACCGAAGTCAGCGCCTAGTCCACCCTTCAAAGCAATTTTGGAACTTTTTCTGGAATGGCCATCAGAGCTGTATCATATTACCCTTGATGTCCTGAATGCCATCAAAATGTCTTCCTTTCAATATTTCCTTTATCTTTGGGTAAGGAAAGACGTCATTGGGGGCCAGATCAGGTGAATAGGGAGGGTGTTCCAATACAGTTATTTGTTTACTGGCTAAAAACTCCCTCACAGACAATGCCGTGTGAGCTGGTGCACTGTCATGATGCAAGAGCCGTGAATTGTTGGGAAAAAGTTCAGGTCATTTAACTTTTTCACGCAGCCTTCTCAGCACTTCCAAATAGTAAACTTGGTTAACTGTTTATCCAGTTGGTACAAATTCATAATAATCCATCTGATAATGAAAAAAGGCTAGCAACATCGTTGCAAGAAGTTCACGAACTTAATTGCCAAACCCCATATGTATCTTTAAAACAATTCCTTTTGGGAATATTGGAGATCTACAGGAAAACTGTAAAGATATAGGAAGTTCCTGTAGAGCCTTTGCCCAGCTTCCCCTATAGCTAACATCTTACATAACCATGTGCATTTGTTAAAACTAAGGAATTGACACTGGTACAATACTTGTAACTAAATGCTATAGACTGAATGTTTGTGTTCACCCCAAATTCACTGTTGAGACAAAACCCCCAAGGTGATGTATTAGGAGGTGGGGCCTTTGTGATTAGGTTACAGGGCATTGGGGTGGGGGATGCATGAATGGGATTAGTGCCCTTATAAAGGGAACCCAGAGAGCTTCCTTTTGTCATGTGAGGACAGAGAGAAAACTGCTGTCTATGAACCAGGAAGTGGGGCCCCACAAGACACAGAATCTGCCAGCACCTTGATCTTGAACTTTCCAGCCTCCAGAACTGTGAGAAAAAAATATTTGTTGGTTAAGCACCTAATTTATGGTGTTTTTGTTATAGCAGCTTAAATGGACTAAGACACTAAACTACAGAAAGAAATTTTGATTTCACTCTGCTTATCTTTTTTTTTTCTACTTACTTTTTTTTTTTAGCTGAGCCATCCTGCCACCTTTTGGCAGCTCAGCTCGGGCTGGGCATCGAACCACTGTTGCTCAGAGCTCAAACTCTTGAGCGAGCTCTTAACCAACTGAGCCACTCGGCCGGCCCTCTACTTACCTTTTAATATGTTTTTTTGAGCCTCCAACAACTCTGGCCAAACTGAAGTTCAGAGAGGTTGTGATTTGAGTAAGATCGTACAGCAAGAAAGTGAGGCATCAATTTGTCACAATAACTGCTCACGTATTCCTACCAGCGTGACTATGGCAGCGTCTGCTCTAGCCCAGCTTATCCCGGTGGGGGCTGTGTTTGCTTGGCTCCCACATTTGGGGGCAGTTTGTGCTGCTACTTCAGTTCTCTGATGGGGCCAAGAAAAGTAGATGCTTTTCAGTTTGAGCTTTTTTCTTGTTGTAAGGATGGGCATGATGACTTCCAAACCCTTTACATGTTGAAGCTGAAACTGGAAGTTGCTTTTCCTTTGTTTCTGCTTTTGTTTTTTAAAAAAATGCTCTCAAGGAATGTGAAGCTGAAACTGGAAGTTGCTTTTCCTTTGTTTCTGCTTTTGTTTTTTAAAAAAATGCTCTCAAGGAATGTGAAGCTGAAACTGGAAGTTGCTTTTCCTTTGTTTCTGCTTTTGTTTTTTAAAAAAATGCTCTCAAGGAATGAGGGTTGAGATGGCAAAAGGGCCGTGTATATCCATTTGGCCTTTTGGGAAAGTGTGTAGGGAAGCAGACCCTCTGAGAAGGACGGCCCAGTGGTATACCACTGACCCTGGCTCCTGCAGGCCCCAGGGGCTCAGCAGACAGCCCCCCTTCCCCAGCCTTCACTGCCTCACTTCACTTCTGGCTTCATCATCTCTCGTTCGGCCTGGGCTCCCTCCCTCTTCCAGACTACCCCACAGTCTGCCTGGATCCCACCCTCATGGATCTTTTTGTAACACAGACCTGTTTGTCTCTCCCTGCTAAAAACTGGCTCCAGCTCGAAAATCCTGCACCCAGAGACTAAAGTATAGGTCACTCAGCATGGAATTCAGATCCTCATGGGTCACGCTAACCTTTCCTCTGCTGCCCACCTCCTCCCACCCCTGCACCATGCTGGGGTGCCAGGGACATCCTGATCATAACATACACTCCAGTTTCTGTGCCTTGCACATGCTGATCCCTCTGGAACCCTTCCAATCCTGATGACAGCAAACTGACTCTGCCAACAAGACTCCGCCTCCCCGGGGAGGCCCTCCCCAGGCACCTGGTACATTCCTCAGGCAGTGCCATGCTCTTGGTCCTGCTGATGCCCCAAGGGGCCTCTCCAGCAGCCAAATCCCCATCTTACTCCAGGCAGAGGCATGGGGCAGACACTTTGTCTCCCTCATGGTTCCGGTTTCATCCCAAGGTGGGAGGCACCCCAGACTATGTTGGCTAGCCCTCCCCATCGCCAGCTGGGGAGAGGAGAGGGATGGTCTGGAATGAGGGAACACGTGTGCATGGGCACCTGCTGTACAGGCCACGGGTGAAGCAATTTGGCTTGGAGGCCAAACCCCAAGCTCCACCCAGTATCAGCTCGCTGACCTTGGGCAAGCTCCTTACTTACCTCTGTGCACCACTGTCCTCAGCTATAAGACAGGTTAATAAATCAGAGCAGCTCTGAGGTGGAGAGGCCTAAGTGAAGCATGCTCAGTAGTGCTGGTTCAGCCAGGCTCCACTGCATCGACGCCATGGCCAACGGGACAGGGATGTTCCACTTGGACAAGGAGGCGACCAGGGCGCTGAGGGAGTAGCCAAGCCACCTGCTGCTTCCCCTTGCCAACCACTGCCCAGCCCTCTCCCACTCCTGCAGTGGCCCAGCAGAGGCCAGGGCTAGGGAGTGAGGGGTGCGGGGTTGGAGTTGTGCCCCATTCCAGGCTAGGTCAGCTGATCCTGCTTTTCCTCTGTTGTTCCACTTCCCAGTGCAGGTGGAAAGAAAGGAACTCCCCATTTTTTAAGGTCTTGCTACAGGCCAGGTGAGTACAGAGCTGGTGGCTTTAATGTCTTATCCATTCCCATCAATGCCAAGAGGCTGGAGTTATGTTTCCATGTTAGGTAAGTCCAAGGTGACAGGGTTGTCCAGCAGACTGGCACACAGTAAGTATGGCATTCCCTTCTCCTGGGCCTCAAGTTGAGAAAAGTCCTACCCACCACCCGTGTCTGTTTGCCCCTCACTGTGGTGAGTGAAGCTGAATCACTGGACAAAATCAATTTAGGATCACAAGGACCCTCTGTTATACATCTGAATAGTTACATGGAGCCTGAGCCTTGACTCCACTCTTCTTTGCTTAAATCTCTTGGCTTATGCTTAGGTTGCACAGTGCACAACCCCCACAACTGCACACAGCAGCCCTGAGAACACCCTCAGAGGAGGAGTCTCTTTGGAGCAGAGCTGTTGAATCCACCCTTCTGAACTCCGGGATGTCAAATTCTTCCTCCAGCATTTCAGGGGTCCCATTTATTATTAAACAAACCAGTCTTAACTGGTCCCTAGTCTCCTAACTTCTGCCCCAAATCTTTGGCATTTGAATGCCTTGAAGAAATGATCTACCTTACAGGCCCCTGGCCTCTCTCTCATTGGCCCTGAGGTTCCCTCCAAGCTCACTCTCCAATCCCAGTCTCCTGGGCTCCCCTCCTTCACCTCTTCTTGGCATTGGGTGATCACGGGCAACCTCCCCTCAGAGAATTCACTGACTTCTCATCTTCCTTCCGCCTCGGAAACGTGGTCCTCCCTCCTTCCCTCAAGCCAGGACCGAGTCATTGCCAAAGCATCCTGCCTGTCCCAAGTCCAGTCCTGTGGATCTGTTTCTGTCCATCCCAGTGAGAAAGGAGGAAGCCTCCTCCGAGAGTCAGAGCCCACCAGAGCCTGGCGGTGGTCAGATGCCCAGAGGGCCGTGAAGCCTGGACGGCTGCGGGAGGTGCAGGAGCCGTGGGCCTTTGGCTTCTCCCCCACCTGAGCTTCCCAGGCCCTTGTCATCCCCAGCTCTGCCCTAACTCCTTGGCAGCTCAAAACTAAGAGGTGTCATCTTGTGCCCTATCCCCTTCCCCTCAGCCAAAGGTGGCAGACTGGTGGTCAACAACACATTTTGTTTGGACTGCCATACTTTTTTAAAGTTTCAATTAGCTGCTATCCTTTAATAAGTAATTTCACTTAAGAATCCAGAATTCTAGCTTCTCTTGAAAAATCATAAGATCCGGTACCATCCGACCCACATACCGGCCGGTGACAATCAGTTAGGGCTGCTCAGCTGTTCCCTTTCTGTGAGGCTTGCAGTCTGGTTTCTGCAGTTAAACCCTCCCAGTCGCCCTGGACATCCATGTCAGTGGCCTGGCCTCCCAACTGTATCTCTCTGCACGAGGCAGTCCGGGGGAAGGGACAAAAGCCCGCAGGTCTCGGCACGCAAAGGAGGGCAGAGCAGGGCAAACAGGAGGGTGGACAGTGCCAGTTGGGAGCCACATCCCAGCCTCTCTCCGTCACTGTTTATTGCTAGCAGCGTCCCAGGCACGCTGTGTGTCCTGTCCTGACTCAGGCCTGCCTCCGGGGGCCGGACTGCTGCAAACACACAGCTTGCCGTCCGCTGCTTCAGGCCACTCCACATTCTACTGGAGCTGGGCCTGGGCCTGAGGCTTTGTCCAGGGCCTGAGTAGGTACAGGCTTCCTTACTGTCCAGCCAGCTCAGCCAAATGTACACCAGGGGGTGGCAGCCTTGTCACAGTCCAACATGATGTTGAGAACAGTGCAGGGGGCCCCGCCCACAGACAGGACTGTGCGGGAATCCACACGGTACTTCACGGTGCTCAGGCCTCCCTCACGGTCCACCTTGAATTGTTCCTGGGAAGGAAACGGGGAGACAGTACATGCTCAGGGCCTTGTGGGTGCCAGGTGCCCATTGATGCCCCATGATCTTGTCATCAGAGGTCCTGTGCGACTCACTCAAGAGAGGGAAGCTCAGCGTCGTGAAGGTTCTTGCCCACGGCTGCACCCCCCCAGTAAGCAGAGAGCAGGGATTTTTTAGTTGACTAGTATGGCTCTTAGAGAAGAGGCTGTTTGAGGGATGGGGACTTCTGGATCTAAGGTTTGCCTAGGATTCCGGCACCTTCAGCTGAGTCCCCCTCACCCAGCCTGTGTGAAGGTCAGCCAACCCTGTGCCCAGGTGCCCATTGCAGCCACCAAGCAGGTAGGGTATCTAAGCAGAATACCATCAACTGAGCTGGGCCTAGCAGGGGATGATAGGGCCATTTGGACCCAAGAACTTGGAGAAATGCCTGGACCTGTTGGTTCCCCATGTCACTGTCTATCTGCCCCAGTTCAGGAGACCAGCCACTACCTGTTTTTGAGCTGCGATGCGCTTCTGGTCCCTCTTCCGCCAGGCTGGGTCATGCAGGTGGCGAAACGTCTTGTATCCAGTTGTGATTCCCGAGGGGCGGAATAACTAAGGAGGCCAAAGCAAGTTGGGTCAGTCCAGCCCTCCTGGAGCTCCGGCCCTCACCATTTGTTAGGCCTGCCACAGGCTACAGGCAGCGGCCTGCATTCCCATTCTGCAGAAAAGGTGGGCTAGTTGGGGGCAGGACTGGGATCAGGGTGCCATTTCCAGGGGTGCTATCTGCAAGCCCCAGGAACTTCATCTGAGGGCAGAGAAGGGAACCTCGGGGCGGCCATGATGGTCAAGAAGGTGGAGCCTGGGAGGCGTTACCTGGAGCCCGGCTCCTCTGATGCGCCGGTAGAACTCGTCGTCCTCACGGCCCCAGCCCCAGAAGCGGTTGGACATCCCGTTGCACTAACAAAGACAGGCAGCATCACTTGCCCCATCCTCCCAGGGTGCTCTCTGGTCTCCTACCAGAGTACCCAGCCCAAGCTGGGCCGGGCCCCCTTTCCTGGCAGCTTGGGACAGACACACCCAGAAATGTACAGTTCCCACAACCTCTGCAGTATTGGGGGGATAGTTAGCACATCCCAGTCCCTTTGCCTGTTCTTATGGGGCCTTGAACTTGTGTGAGATGATTAATTTCTCAAAACTGTCTGATCGGCAGGAAGGGACCTCTCCGGGGAGCTGGTGATGAGCAGAAATGCCAACTCCTGCTCGATTTCTGCCTTCCTATTTCTCCGGGGTGGCTCTGTCCGATCTCTTCCTCTGAGTGGGAGAGGGACAGCTGGGCTCTATGGCAGATACCGATTTTTGTCATCAGATTCAGGGCTTCATTTCATAAGGCTGCCTTCAGCCTTGTGAGGAGCAGGAGACCCAGGTGGAAGCCACTCAGTTCTTCCCACCCTGGCCACAGCCACAGTGACGGACCCAGGGATGGGCCCATGACCAAGGTAGGCCAGTCATGGTCCATGTGGTACAGCCCGGGGACTCCTGCTGGCTGCTGGGAAAGCAGCTCCCTCTTCCAGTGGACTTGGGCCTAGACAGGCACAGACTGCAGCCATGACAACCACCCTTCACCCCGAGTGTCTGGAAAGAAGTCCAGCCTAGAGAAGGCAGAAATGAGAAATGGAAAGAGAAACGGTGCCCTGCTGACACTGTCCGAGAGACCGGGCAAGCCACACGGGAAGCCAGACCCTCCTCTCGGCCCCGCCCAGATGTTTCCATTTTGAGATCCACTGAAGCCCCCCTTTTCTGAAGTCAGCTTGTACCTGGGTTTCTGTTACTGTGCTGAATCCTCCCTAACTGATCTGCTCGTTCCTGCTCCTGTCTCCTGTCTCTGGATGCTCCTGGGTTCTCCTGCTGGGCCCCAGAACTGCCGCACCTCATACCAGTGCCCCCTACCCAGGTGAGCCAGGCCTCACCAGCTGGTAGTGCTGCTTGGAGAGCAGCAGGATGCCGCCAACGTAGGTCTTGTAGTGGTAGAGCGGGTGGAGCTCCGGCGAGGCCACATGGAAGGGCCCCGCCTCAGGGAAGCCATAGTCCAGCTCCTCGTTGAGAGGGAGCAGGTCCACGTCATGCATGGCGATGTAGTCTGTGCTGTTGCCGCTCTCCAGGAAGCCCACGTTGATGAGTGCCGCCCGGTTGAACCTGTGCAGGGCAGCCGAGGCTGGGCAGGGGTGGGCAGCAAGCTGGCTCTCCCCCAAATTCTGCATGAGAGCCTGTCCCCCACAGCACCTACCCCGGTGCCCACGCTGCCCTCCAGGTTGACACTGACTTCACCATGGGGCTTCCCAGATGCACATCTGCCCCTCTACTCACTGCACAAATGTTTACTGAGCACCCACTTATGTACCAGAAACTGTTCAGAGCACAGGAGATGCAGCAATGAGAAATCAAAGCCCTGCCCTCAAGGAGCTGATACTCTAATAAGAAGAGACAAAAATAAACAAATAATTGAATACATAACATGGCAGACAGTGCTAAGTGCTGTGGAGAAAAGTAAAGCAGGGTGAGGAGGACCATGCATGCTGGGGGGTAGAAGCAGCTTATCTTTTAGACAGGTGGCCAGGGAGGGCCACAAACCTGAAGGCACAAGGAAATGAGCCCTAAGGAAGTCGGGGGGAGGGGCTCCATGCCTGCCAAGGCCTGAGGCAGGACAGACACCAATGTGGCCAGAGTGAGAGAGGGGGGCGTAGAGGATGAGGTCAGAAGGTGAGGGACCCATGACAGGCCTGTGATGGGTTTGAGCTTTGGCCCTGGATGAGATGAGGAGCCACTGGAAGGCTCGGGGCAGAAGCACAAAGTGCTATGAATTAGGTTGCAACGGGATCACTCTAGCTAGGGTGTTGAGAAGAGGCTGGAGGGCCGAGATAGAAGCAGGGAGATGAGGTGAGAGGCTATTACAATAATTTAGGCAAGAGATGATGGTGAATTAGTACAGGGAGGTGGCAGTGGAGAGGGTAAGTGGGCAGATTCTATTGGGTTGTCAGAAAAGTCATGACATATTTTTTTCTCTGTTTTTCGTTGCAAAAACTTTTCCGACAATCCAATAGATGGACAGGATGTGTTGTGTGAGGGAGAAGGAGTGGAGGATGACGCCAAGGTTTTTTGGCCTGAGCAACTGGAGGCATGGAATTACCATTTCCTGAAATGGGGAAGAGGGCAGAGGAAGCAGGTGTGGAGCAGGTGGGAAATTAGGAATTTAGTTTTGATCATGTTAAGCTCGAGATGCCTCTGACACCAGCAAATGGAGGGCTGGCTGCTCAGGTGGCTGGACGTGTGGTCTGGGCTGGGAATACAGCCTTGGGAATCACCAGGGTAGAGATGGGACTTAGGGCCCTGGGCCTGGACAAGATCCCCCAGCAAGGGGACACCCAGCACTAAACCCCAAAGAGCACTGAGACTGAGCGATCAGGGAGATGAGGCAGAGGCAGAACCCATAAAGGAGGTGGGGAGGGGGGGCGACCAGCGAAGAAGGAGACCTAGAGTGTCGCCCCAGAAGTCAGAGGGAGGTGTGTGAGGAAGGAAGACGTAATCCACTTGGCAAACGCTGACAAGAGGTCTACAGGTTGAAGGTTGATTAATGAGGTGGGCTCCTTGGTGATGTCAGTGAGAGCTGTTTTAGCAGCACGGTGAGGGTAAACAGCTGAGTGGAAGAGGTTTAAGAGAGAGCAAGGGGGAGAAGGGGAAGTTTTGCTATAAAGGGGAGCGGAGAAATGAGGTGCTATCTGTGGGCGATATGTGATCAAGCGGGGGTCATTTTCTTTTTAGATGGGAGCTACTTCAGTGTGTTGGTGTAAGCTGATGCAAATGCTCCAGGAGGGAAGAAAAAATCGATCATGCAGGAGAGAAAGGGGCCCACAGCTGCAGTGATGTAGGAGGCGGGGAAGGGATCCGGTGGCCATAGAAGAGCTGGGACAAGGCATCCAAAGAAACCCTGCTCAGAAGCTGGTACGTGGGTCCAGGAGGTATGGACTTGGGCAAGTTCTCTTCCAATTGGTTCTGTTTTCTCAAAGAGGAAGCAAAGTCATCAGCTGGGGGTACGGTGAGGGAGGAGAAGGGAATGACAGCAGGCTGGAGGATTTCGAGGCTTCAGGCAGGGCTGAGGGGCTTCCTGGGCCAAGGCGCATTGTCTCCAGCGACATCCAGCTGCCCAGGAGCAGGTGTGGAGCAGATAGTCAGGTTTCGTCAGGTGGAAGTTGTGCCAGGCAGAAAGGGACAAGGGAGTTGAGGTGTATATGCACGGGAGTGATTTTAACGGTGGGCCATGGAATGCAAGTTAGGTCGGGGAGAGTGAGGACAAGGAGAGTGGGCAGTGAAAATTGGGAGCATCACAGATTAACGGACCTGGTGGGGTCCAAGAACTGTTGGAGTCTGTCTCCAGCAGGAGGACGTTGGAGGGAAAGATGGGGGTGGAGAGTGAGATGCTTTGATTGTGATCGTGGGGGGAGTTTTTAGAAAGGGTACGGAGTTCAGAATAACAACGGACTGTGAAGAACTTTAAAGCCGTGGCCTTGACCCTCCCTTTCCCTAAGCCCCACAGCCAATCCACCAGCAAAGCAAGCCCTGTCTGCGCTTCCTCCACCCCTTCTACCATGCTGGCCAAGCCCCTGTCACATGAGAGGACTGCAGGGACTCTCAGAGCTCTCCCTGCTCCCCCACCTCTTGGTATAATCCACTCCACATAGAGCAGCTATGGGGATCTTTTTAAAACGGAAATCAGATTAGGGCCTTCCCCAGGCCCAAACTCTCCCCAAAGATGCCCACCACTTCCAGTGAGAGGGGTCTACCACCCCCTACCCTCCTGCCACTGCCGCAGATGGCCTTTCACAGGCCTGAGGCCCACCAGGCATTGCATTGCTGCCCTGAAAGTCCTGGGCAAGGTGAGGCCCCCGAAGAGGGAGAGCTGGGTCAGGTGGTCCCTACCTGAAATGATCCACCTGGTTGAGCACATAGATGTGGTGCGGGATCTTCTTCCTGCTCAGGAACCGGTGCATGTGGGGCACAAAGACCAGGAGCTCCTCAAAGCGTTCGCGGAAGGGCACCAGCACCGCCAGGCGGTGGGGGCCCCATGACAGGTCTTCTTCCCAGTGCTCAGGGGGTGGCTCTGGGGGGCAGGCCCGAGGTGGGCCTGGGGTCTCCTGCCCTTGTCCCCTGGCTGCCCGGGCCACGTCACCAGAGCAGCTGAGCTGCAGCCAGAGCAGGGAGAGGAAGCCCAGTAAGAGACAGGCAACGAAGAGGTGGAAGACGGAGCATTTCCGGGGGAGGCTGCTGGGGAGCAACCTGGACCTGGGACAAGAGCAGGAATGGGTCAGAAAGGCGGGGCTGAGCCAAATCCTTTCTTTGGCTTCCCCACAACTAGGACACACATGACTGGTCTGCCCCGAGCGCCTGGGAAGTAGTGCAGAAGCAACTTCAATGTTTTTGCTCATGCTGCTGCTGTGCGTCAGAATCCTGCTTACGGTTCTAGGCCCAGCCCCTGCCCCCCCCCCCCCCTCTGGGAAGCCCTCTGATCACTCCTGGGTCACAGAGCTGCCCCAGCTCCGTGATGCTCTCTTATTTTCTATGAGTGAGTCCTGTTCAGGCCATGAGCGCAGAGACAAGGCTCCTTGTCTCTTGCACTTGCCTCTCCCCAGGACAATGTCTCCTTCCTGTCCTGAGCTGATGGTAGGAGCCCCGCCTTAAAGATCCCACCCACTGCCTTCCACACCTGCTCCCTTGCAGGTTCACTGCCAACTGAAACGTTGGCTTTGTCCTGCTTCTCACACCAGAAAGTTCCCCAAGACCAGGGCCTGTGCTGGCATCAGTCACCCATGTTTTCTCTGGGAAGATCAGGTCTGTCCTCAAACCAATGCAAGACCCAAACTGACCGTGGCAGGTCACTGAACAAGTCTCAAAGCTTCAGTCCAACAGGCAGCCCATGTGACAAGAGATGAGAGACCGACGAGGGAAAGAAAGCTGAGGGATAGGGGCGGCACCCAGGCTTGTATCAGAAACAGGGAAGCGAGCCGGATAGCTTAGAAACGGGTAGTGCTGGGAGAGACTGCCCTGTGGATTAGAAAGTACAAAGAAATAGGTAGAATTCACCTGATTCCTTTGCCCCTCTCTCTGGAAGTTCCTGAGGATAGTGAAGGAGAAACTGAGGACTCCAAAAAGGGCAGCTTCCTCTGTACCCTCCTCCACGAATAATCTGCAAAGCAATCTGCCTTATAACCTCTAAGAGTCACCAGTTAGCTACCAGGTTTATAGACCTCCTAAGTGCCCCTTCACCCTTCCTTACCCATTGCCTCTCTTTTAGCTCAGGTCTCATCTGGTCTTTGCCCGGCTCAGGCCCCCTCAATCTCATGGATGATCCTCTTCTGTTTACAAGATAACAGCCAAATTCCTTGGCCTGATCATCAAACCCCTCCGACCTGGCCCCATCTCCAGCTGCATCCTATCACTCACCATGTGCTACAGTTTGGGCAACTCTGAGCTTCTCTGCTCACTATATTCCTTCCTGCTCCAGCCCTCACACAGCCTGTTGCTTCTGCCTGAAATGCGCTTCCTATTTTATCTGCCTGAAAGCCCCTCACTGATCCTTCAGGGCCAAACTCCAATGTCATGACCAGCATTGCCCACCCACGTGCACACTGCCCTCTATTGTGTTTCCGTGGCATCTGGTACTTCCCTCTTTGGAGCACTCCAAGTACCTGTGTCCCTGCTTGTCTTCCCCATAGGTAATCAGACTCCCATTTGTGGCCCCAGCACAAGTCACACAGCAGAGGGCGTGCTAAGTGAGTTACATGAAGGGTTCAAGCAGTCAGGGCATGCTTTAAGTCACACACTAGAGCCACACCAACTCCTGACTCTCTAGCAGTACAGCTGACAACCTGGAAGCCAGCAGCCCTGAAGCCAGGCCCAGGTCCCACACACAGCAGAGAGAAGGCTGGGTAGGACACCTTCGCAGGGAGCTTCTGACTTACCCCCCATTGTCCTGTGGTGGGGGTTTCCGCTGGAGAGGAGCAGAGCCCAATCCTGACAGTGGCCTGGGAAGGCTGGACCCTCTACAGATTCTCCCTCTGGGCTCTTTCTGGAGGTAGGGTAGAGACCGGGGAGATGGACAAGGGGAACTATCCCACCTTTGGGGGAAGAAGCAGTGACCATTATCCAGGAATACGGCATGAACTGGGCATTCCATGCACTTTCACATGCCGTTCCCTTGGTCTAACTTTCCCTTCCTACCAGGATCATGTCCCATGGGCACTCATATCCGGCGCTTTAAGGGCCCCAGCCGCTGAGCAACTGAATTTAGAGTTGAGTCCCCAATTCCTCAGGACAGTGGACACTGAGAACAGTGCCTCCTGGTGCCACCTGGTGGCAAACTCCAGATCTGCAGTCCCAGCTGCTCCTAGGCCCAGGCCACTCTGCTCTGAGTGGGGCAGACCAGATGAGGTTGTCTCCTTCATCAATCTGTGCCCAAGGCTAGGAAAGGGAAGATTTGAATCCAGGCAGGCTGGCCTCAGAGCCAGCACTCTTAGTTGCTATATTAGCCTGCATCTGTTGCACTGATCTTTGTACCCGTGTCAATAGCAAGAATTGACATCAGTAACTTTTTCTGGGAACACAGTTATGATCCAAAGGTTTATAGAAAGTGACCAGGAAATGAAAATTTTCTTCCATCACTTTTCCTTTCTTTTCTCAGAAGGTTTGAATACTCAACTGCTCTGGTTACAGCACGTCCAAACTGCAAAGGTGACTGGAAGCTACCTTCTCTGTGCCAGGCACAGTGTCAAGGGTTTTACATATACTATCTCCTTTAATCCTCATGTGGCCTTGCAGAGTAGTTATGATCCTTGTTTCAGAGACGGAAAAGCTGAGGTCAGAAAGATTAAGTGACCTGTCTCTGGTCAAATGGCTATCAAAAAGGATTCCTGCCCAGGGTTGATAACACAGTCCAGATTTCCTTTCTATCATATTCCTTTCTTCTTCCTTCAACACCAACCCTGAAAAACCCCAAAGGTAAAGAGTTGTGCCCATTATATTCCAGAATGTTTCGGCATCTGGCAAACTTAAGAGACATAAAGGGAATAAGGTGTGATTCATTGGGCAGAGACCTACTATGTGTTCTAGGTGAGAAGAGTTTTGGGGGTACATCTCAAGACTGAAGTGTCCTCCCAAATGCTGGCAACTAAATAGCTCCCTCACCCTAATTCTGCTTTAGTGGGAAGCATCCTTAGCTAAGGTTTGAGCCAAACCCATGCCTAACACATGGAGCAGGCCCCGTTCAAATACAGCGGCACCAGAAATGAACTAGTGTTATGTGTGAGGAGTGCCTAGTAAGTGCCAGGCAGTGGCCAGCCTGGCAGAGCAGACAGCTTCTGTCTGGTGTGTTCTTCTGGGCAGCCAGCAAAGAAAGGGAAGCATGAGGGAGGAAGGGTAGGGTCTGAGGCTACGTGGATGTGATAGGAGGCAGAGACCAGAAAAACGGAATAAAGACCCTTTGAGCCCAGGGACAGACAGAAAGACAGCGATCCACTGAGAGAGGTCAACGGAGTCAGAGACCCGTACAGAGAGGCCGGTGGAGAAACACAAAGATCCACAATGAGAGAAAGCGACTTGCAAAGAGAAGGGCAGAAACTCACAAAGGGAAGTCAACGGAGAAATACAGACCCGCAGGTGACGGAGACCTGCGGAGTGACGAAGACTGATAGAGGCAGAGACCCACAAGGAGAACCACAGACCCTCAGACCGCAGAGACGGAGGCGCGACGAGCTCGGGCTCCTAGATTCCGCAGGGCGGCCCGGAAAAGATGGGCACCCAGGAGGACCGGGGCCATGCCGGCCGCCGCCGCCGCCGCTCACCTGCCGTCCTCCCAGGGCAGCTGCGCCGCTTTCCTCCGGGAGGGGAACATCGTAGGGGGAGGTGGCGGTGCATGGGGCTTAGGCTCCCAGCCGGGCGGGCCCAGACTCCCCGGCCTACGCGGCGCCTCCGCCTCCCGCCCCGCCCAGGCCCGTCCACCCCGCCCCTCGGTCCTCCAAGTCCGCCGCTCCGGCAGCGCCCTTTTCCCCCCGGAGCTGCGGTATCAAAGGTTCCGCATGCCGAGGAACACTCCTACCGCCCGACTGCTAACTGCCCTCCCCGCTTAACATTCCGAGAAACTGAGGCCGTAAAGAGGGCTCAAATAACTGGACAGGGACTGGACTGACTCCAGACTTCCAAACCAGCGCCCTGGGATAATTTGCATCTTCCTTCTCTTTTGGAGGAAAGGAGGAGACCGTCTTGGCATCCCTGTTGTCAACCCAGGTGTATTCTTCCTCTGCAACAAGATTGGAGGAGGACAAAGCCAAGCTCAGGGCCCAGTCTTGGGTTCGACTGATACCCCAAGGAGTAGGTTGGAGTCAGGCACTACAGACTGATTGACTGGATTCGAAATCTTGACTCTGCCAATTCAGCTGTTTAGGGGCAAGGCACAATCTCTTTGCATGTTCCCTCACCTGATCATGTTTCTTGATCTACATGGCTGCTCTGAGGACTAAAGGGGAAAATGCACTTGGTACAGCAATGGGCACAATAGTTAACATTATGTAAATGATAGCTATCATCCAGGAGAGGAGTACTTTGGTGGAGTTGAGGTGAGAACTAAGGGGAATACTGTAAGGACATTAAGTTCCCATATCTGCCCTGCTGGGCTGGCTTCCCATCTGGGAAAAGACAGTGGCAGCTATTAATCTCCTCTGCTCTTCCAGGCAAACTTTAAGTTTCTCAGTAAGTAGCTAACATCTATTGAGTTCTTACTACATGCAGTCACGTGTTCTAAATTCTTTACTACTATTACTTTTTAAAATTTTTTATTGGGGAATTGGGGGATGGGAACAGCACTGGGGAATTGGGGAAGGGAAACAGACAAGTTCCTGTCCTTTTGTTCTTCAATCTGGTTGTGGAGGACGTTGCTTCACTGGCCCAAGTTGGCCATCATTGCGCTCTTCCCGGACAAGGCAGATCAGTGGCCGGCTTCTGGACGGCTGCTCACAGCGGCTGCTGGCTGCTCACGCTGGCTGCTGGCTACACACAGTAGCTTATGGCAGCCCACTGCATCAGGGGCTGCAGCCTACGCTGTCGCCGGCGACTCACTGCAGCCCAGCTCCAGGTTGAGTTGTTGTTCAGCATCTTAGCTGTAGAGGGCAGTGTCACTGGCCCTCATATGTGGGATCCGAACCGGGGACCTGTGGCATCCCAAGCGAGCTCTTAACCAACGCGCCACTCGGCCAGCCCTTTCTACTATTATTTCATTCAGTCCTTGAATCCTGTGTTTATTATGCCCACTTTAAAGATGAGAGAACTGAGGCACAGAGACAATTCAATATGTAAGACCAGGTAGTTTGGTTGCACAATCTATGGTCTCAACTACTCTGCTTCTAAGAGGACTTCACTATGGGTGGGAAATTAATCATTCCCGGCAGTCCCCTTTCCTCCCTTAAACCCAGCAGCATACAATCCACTGGTCCCCTTCCTGCTGAACTCTCCTAGGGCACTGCACCCCCTACCAGAACCTTGGCAAATCTAGCTGAGGTTTGGCTGACGACAAAGGTGCAGCTGACCCACTGCAGAGACCAGTCAGGTAAGGCCAATGATGAAAAGTAGGGAGGTGGGACTGTAACCTGGAGAGCACAAGCACATCTAAAGGGGTCAGACAGTCCAGATAACTGTCACGTCAGGATGAAGTCCCACTGGTGACACTAGTGTCAGATCGTTTATCTCAAGAAATCAGATTTCACATAAAAATCTAAATTAACTAATTTTAAGCTGTGACATCAGTCATGCTGATAATAAGTACCCTTGATATGATGGGATGAGAAGGGCACTTTACCTCTGTGGTTTTCCTTTCAAAAACCCATAACCCCAGTCCAATCATGAGGAAAACAGCAGACAAATTCCAATTGAGGTGCATTCTACAAAATACCTGACCAATACTCCTGAAAACTGTCAAGGTCATCAAAAACAAGGAATATCTGAGAAACTGTCACAGCCAAGACAGAAGCCCAAAGAGACAACTAAACGTAACATAGTCCTAGAGGAGATCCTGGACCAGAAAAAGGTCCAGGTCAGGTTAACAACTAAGTAGAGCGTGCATCAAGTATAGACTTCAGTTAAAAATAATGTACCGGTATTGGCTCATTAATTTTTAACAAATGTACCATACGAATGCATGACGTTAATAATAGGGAAAACTATCTTCGCAATTTTTTGGTAATTCTAAAAAGATGTTTACTTTTTTCTAAATGTGGTGGTCTAGGTGGTAATATGAGCTCAGATTACATCCTCCTATTAGGTCAAGTGGTCCCCCAAATTGTTTCCCCACCCTGTCTCACACTGCTGGGTCAACCTTCCTCAAATTTATACAGATTATTCTACTCAAAATTTTGTGGAACAGTGGGTAATCAAATCTCTTACCTGAGGCTCAAGGCTCTTCTAATTCTAATCAACCTTCCTTTCCAGCCTTCTCGCAACCCCTCCACCTCAACTTCAGCTGAAACAATGCCCATCTATCTCCAGACCAGCTGTTTGCCTCTGCCTTCCCCAACCACCGCTGCCCTGCCTTTCATCTGAATCTTTCCTCTCCTCTTTCAAGGTCCTTGCTAAAACCCTGTGCTACTGGTTAAGCTCATCAGTATCCTCATCCCTACCCACCCAGGGATTTGTCCTTCCCACCTGCAGCATTCCTGTTCAGCGCACCATTCTAACTATGCACTCCTTGCAGTACTACCACAATTCTACTCAGAGTCTACCTACTCTGGAAAGGCGGAAAGGATACTCATGAGGGACCTGGCGCAGAGGAAATTGTGTAGATTTGAGCACCAACCCCACAATTTAATTGTTGGATGATCTTGGACAAAATCACTACCCGCTGCTGCAGGGAGATATGGGGAACATGGAAAGAACGAAGTTCACAGGTGGGTACTCATCGTGGACTGTGAGGTGCTTTGACCATTGGAAGAACTGACGTTTCCTGAAGCACCTTGCAGTGTTATGCCCACTGATAGTAATTTTACACTGGACAATAAGTCTACTTTTTTGTTGTTGTTTAATTTGGAAACCAATGTAACAAACCTAGGCTTATTGAAAATGAAATCAGTAACTAAGACTGCAGGCGCCGTCCCCAGCCAGCACCAAGACCTCTGCTTGCCCTGACCCCAGTACAAGTCTCTAAAAAGACAACCATGTGAAGAACCCAGGGTCAACCTCAGGGCCACTTTCCCATACTGCAACCCCCTCCACCCACCCTCAATTGACAACCCACCCCGGATCAGCAGGCTGGGTCTAGACCCAAGGAGGCAACAGTGAGGTTCCTAGGGTGGCAGGAAATCACAGCTGCATCCCAACCTGCTCAAAATCCCAAGTTAGCAAAGGAAGACAAAAGGAAGACTTGCTTGCCCACCCACTCCCCTCCCCCCAGCCATCCCAGACAACAGCCTCACATCCCTGTTCAGTAACACTGTGATTCTCAGGTGTCAGTGGGGCTCCCAGTGGCTTCACCAGCCCCTAGATTACTGCAAAGGGCCCAGAGCCCAGGGGTGAGGACAGTCATTTGCCCCACCACCTACTCAGTATTTGCCAGCCGAGGTGCTGCCCTCAGCTTGTGCCTGGGGTGCCTGTGGCCCCTCTCCCCTCCAGAATATCCATGGCTGGGAACCAGTCCTCCTGCCAGAGAGAAATCAGTTCCAGGAGGCCCTTTCTCCCCCAGCCTAGGAGGAAGGATGGCTACACCAGTTTCTTGGCTTCAAAGAAGCTCTTGAGATGTCGCATCTGCCAAACGCCGATGGCTACGAGGATGAGGGTCTGCAGAATGGACCACCACAGCACCCGCTGGTTGGTGCTCTCGCTGGTCTGCCGGAAGCGCTCCTCTCGCCACTGTGGGAGGGGAGAACAGAAGAAGAGCCTGAGTTGCTTGGGCCCCACCTGGGGCTTTAGAATTACAGGGTTCCCTCCCTGGAAGATGGCCCAGGTTCCAGTCAGTTACCTGCAAAAAGCAACCCCACATAAGGAATATCTTCACACTCACCAGCCAGATGACCTCAGGTAACCTAAGTCTGTTTGCTCATCTGTCAGTTACAGCCCTTAGTAGGTCCTACCCTGGTGCCTGGGAGAGAGGTGCCATCAGGCGAGCTGTCCTGAAGCACTCAAGAGAGGACTTGTTCTGAGCCTTCTACCCAGATCTCCCAAGTTGCTCCTTGAAGATTGCAAACAGGTTGCAACTGGTGCCCCAGGGATGGATCTGGGCGATACATGTGTTTCGTTTGACTCACACAATGTTTTGCCAACATTTAAAACCCATGAAATTTTCACATAAAAAACCTGGACCTCTAGCTCCTATTAAAACTCAGGCCTAGCTAGCATTTCTTTTCTTTTTTTTTTTATAGCTGAGCCATCCTGCCACCTGTTGGCAGCTCAGTGTGGGCCGGGACTCGAACCGCTGTTGCTCAGAACGCACACTCTTAAGTGAGCTCTTAACCAACTGAGCCACTCGGCTGGCCCAACTAGCTAGCATTTCTGCAAGGCTGTCCTCAGCTGACAACAGCAGCTGTTCCTGTTTAGACAGGTCACTGTCCTACCAATCCTTATTGTCATAGATCCATTCTTTGTACCTGCCTGGCTCCTGGACACAGGTGAGTTTGAAACCCCTGGTCCTGGAAGCACCTAGAGCCCCAGAAATAGCACCCAAGGTGTTGGGATCAATCCCTGCTCTGTCACTTTGTGCGTGTAACTGTGTGACACAGGGCAATAACAGCCTTTTAAGAGACTGTCTCCTCAATTACAAAGTAGAGTTCATAATAGCCACCCCACCTTTTAGACTTGCAAAGTAGCACAAACAGGTATGTCCCTTGGGTTTCCTAATGAATCTGACATGCCCCTCCTGGTTCAGCTAGTGGGCAGCTTCTGGGAGGAAGCCCACCACTCCTGAATGAACCACTCACGCGCTGGTAGTTTTGCTCCTTCTGGATCTGCTCCACCTGCTCCACCAGCTGTCGCACTCGTAGCTGCAACTCACTCAACTTGTCTTTGGCGGCAATTTCTGCATAGTCATTGGCATGTTCACCCACCTGGATGTCCAGATGAACTCTCTGGGACCAGACAAGGAAGAGAATCAGGTGGTCCTGCCAGTCTTCCTGTGAGGGACTGATAGCTGGTCCCCCCCATCCTCCTTTATTTGTTCACTTAGCCACCACTGATGAGGCCTCCTCAGTGTCCAGCCCTGTGGGGCTTTAGGCACAAGAATAAGCCTTGGCTGATGCCCTGACCAATCCATATACAAAGAGCATAGCAACCATGCACTGGATGTTCACTGGAAACCCCGTTTTATTAGGAAACACAAAATCCAACATACTAATCTTACACCCACAGTACCACCAGTCCCCAGTCCTGACCAGGGGCTAGAGGCTGAAAGCTTCGAGTCCCACTTGAATCAACTTACCAGCATGCCTCCAGCAAAAAGGGAGAACTTGGTAGAATTGGAGTGAAGACAGATCTGGTGTTCACCAGGGGTATGGGATGTGAAAGTGAACCTGCCTTCAGAGCCATACTGCCGGGCCAGGATGACCTGGAGAGAAGGGACTTCAGTGAGTGTTATGGTAGGCGTGGGCTGGACAGTGCTTAAGGCTCTAAGTGCCTCAAAAGTTGACAAACAGAGCTTTGAGCATCCCTCAACACTAAAAGGTGCACGGCTGCTCAGCAGCAGTTGCCAAAAGTGTGTCTGTGAATTATTTGGAACAGGAATGAAGAGTCTGACATTAAGTTGTTATGTGACTGCTCCTGGGAAAAGTTTTCCTTTATTCATAGCTCACGTCCTTTCGATCATTTTGGTGTAGTTCTTTTTTTAAGTGAAAGGTGACAGCTAAAGGGTTTGGCTTTTTTTGTTTTGTTTTAATATTCTCATTTATCAAAATTAAAGCTGCTCATTCTTTTTGGAAAGTACCCTGCCCTATGAAATCCTAAAGTCTAGATGTCACAGCTTTACACTTGGAAAAATTCTGTTTTCCAGCACCACAATTAATCCACCCATCACACCTATATACGATAGATGAATTTCCATTTCGCAGACCAGGGATATGGCTCAAGGAAGATAACTGACTTGGCGGAGTCTTGCAGCAGTCTGTAGGAAGTTGAGGGGTGCAGCCAGCATTGCAACAGCCTCAATTAGGCCAGGAGTGAAAATCTGGGATCTTCCCACAACACCAACTGTATTTTTTTTTTTAACCAATTTTGCGGATGTAGAAACTAGGAGGGAAAGTACCAGCGCCTGCTTCATCTGGCGCTGAAATGCAAAGTGGAGGGCTCAGTGGGGCTAAGGGGCAGGCTCACCTTGTCTTCTGGGTCCTTCACCTCCACGAACATGCCAAGCCCGGGGGTGGCCGGCTGGTACTCCTCCCGCTGCTTATCATACAGCTGTGTCCGGTAGTTTCCTGGAGAGAAGCGGGGCGAGCCCACGTCAGAGGAGCGCGAGGTGGCTCCAGATCCGCGGCCGCGAGAGCACTGCGAGGCCGACTACTCCCGGCTCTGGAACACTGCTGACTCCCTCACCCCATCCCTCAAGACCGCCGCGGTCTTGTTCCCAACTCTCCCCCTCCCCCCGCACCTATAACCATGGTCTCGTCCGGAATCTCCTCAATAAAGCACTTCTTCTCCGTCTCCCCGATGTGGAAGTAGAGCGTGCCTCCGCGAGCCGCAAACCACAGCAGCAGCAGGAGGGTCCGCACCACCCGACCCACCCCTGCTCCGGGCCAGAGCCCAAAGACCCACAGACTATGTTCCGCAGCCATCTTGCCCCACCGCCCGTGCAGCCGCAGCTGGCCGCGCCACGTATCGCTGCCGCCGCCGCGGGTCCTGCCGGGACAGCGAGTTCCACTGGGGGGACTACAAGTCCCGAGATACCCGGCGGCCGTGGCGCGGCAGTTCCTGATTGGGGCGCGGCTTCTAGACCGAATTAGGACCCCAAAATTGAAAAATTCTTTCGGTTGATCCTTGTCGCGGCCCGGCCACTGGTGGTGATTATCGGCATTTTACAGATGATGAAACTAATGTAGTTTGCTTGAGGTCGCGGAGGGACAGGATTCGAAACTACTATCCCTGGCATAGCAACTGCCACTCTGGGTTTGCTTCTCTTTTTAAAAATTGAACTTTTTGAAAAACATGGTACAAACAGTGCTTGAATTTATCTTCAAAATTTTTTTCAAAACAACAAAAAAGAAGTGTCATGGTCTCCGTTTACCACTTCTTTGAGCCCCCTCAAGCCCCTGTGACTCTTAAATTTGGTCTGTATGGTCCCAGGTATGCCACCATCACCACCGCATACTCCTCCACGCGGGCTTTGCTGCGGATTCCCGGCGGTGATGGTTCGTCTCCGGACCCGGGTTCGGTGCCCCAGTGGCCGGCGGATTAAGGGTTACTGGGATTCTCGGGGCAGAGCTGCCCCGTTTTGGAGAGTTTTGCACGATCAGCAGAGGTCTGGGTCTGCCCTTGTTGGCCTTCCTGAATTGTACCCAAATTTTAGTGTATTTTGGCAGCTCTTCTTCGGAGTTAGTTTATTGTGCTACCTCAAGGTTTCATTGAATTTGGCGGTTTTCTTTCCATTTGGGACTCTCTTTGTTGTTTCCTTTGGCCCTAGGGAGGGAGGTTTTAGTGGGAATGTGTTCACATTTCCCTAACATCATTGGGAAGTCTTTATCTCATTTTTCTTAACAGTGACAATATTCCATAATATGAGTGTACCTTATTTTTCTAACCATTTCTGATGAAAGTGCTTAAAATTTCTTTCCCACTAATTATTTGCTCTCGCAAATAATGGTGCAATAAAAATTTTGTTCATTTTCAAAAGGCATTGCTGTAGGACATAGTTTTGTTTATAGATCACAAAATTGCCCTCCCAAAAAGTGTACACCAATTTAGTCTCACCAGCAGCGTGTCAGTGTTTACCTTCCCACACCCTGATCAAATGTTCTCAACCTTTTTAATTTTTGCAAAATCAGTAAATGAAAAATTGTATTTCACTACCCTATAATTTTTACTTCCTTAGATACCGAACATTTTTTGCTGATCATTTATTTTCTTCTATGAACCGCTGGTTGTGTTTTTCTTAGTGGTGTTATACTTACATACTATGACTGCTCATTATTCAGAATTAACAAGTGATTACAGAATGAATAAGTGATAACATTTTATAATATTAGTTTCAGGTATTTTTAAATTAAGCTTTCTTGTATTGAGGTAATTACAGATTCAGATGCAATTGTAAGAAATAATGTAGCGGGCCGGCCGAGTGGCGCTTTGGTTAAGAGCTGGCTTGGGACGCCAGAGGGCCCCGGTTCGGATCCCACATATGAGGGCCAGTGACACTGTCCTCTACAGCTAAAATGCTGAACAACAGCTCAACCTGGAGCTGGGCTGCTGTGAGTCGCCAGCGATGGCGTAGGCTGCAGCCCCTGATGCAGTGGGTTGCCATGGGCTACCGTGTGTGGTCAGCAGCCAGCGTGATAGGCCAGCAGCCGCAGTGAGCAGTGGTCCAGAAGCCGGCGACTGATCTGCCTCACCCGGGAAGATGGTACCAACTTGGGCCAGTGAAGCAACATCCCCCACAACTAGACTGAAGAACAAAAGGACAGGAACTTGTCTGTTCCCCTTCCCTCAATTCCCCAATAAAAATCTTTAAAAAAATAAAAATAAAAAAAAGAAATAATGTAGAGCGATCTAGTGTACACACTACCCAGTTTCCTCCAATGGTAGGTAAAGTCTTGCCCAAATATAATACAATATCATAACCAGAATATGGACATTGATACAGTCAAGATACAGAACATCACCACAAGGATCCCTCATGTTGTCCTATTATAGTCATATCACTACCCCCTTAGTCCTTCCTTAACCCCAGACAGCTACTAATCTGTGTTTTCCATTTCTATAACTGCCATTTCAAGAATATTACATAAATGGACTCATACAGTATGTAACCTCTTGAGATTGGCTTTTTTTCACTCAGCATAATTCTCTAGAGATTTTATTCTGTTTGTTGCATGTATAAATATTTAGTTTCTTGCATAGTAAAAGGTAACCATTACACACAATGTATAAAGATAGAGTTTTGTAATATAAACAATCAAAAGGGGTGAGAACAGACCTGTTAAAGGAGGACAAAGTTTTGTTTTTTATTGACGTTAAGCTGGTATAAATTCTGTTGCCATGCAGCTGTCCAGCCGTCTGTCCCCCCGTGCTTAACCCTAAACTGATCCTTTTGAGGACACTGTTCATGCGCCTTGCGTCTCCCTGTTTGGCTCCAAAGGATGGCTGGTTAGTCAATGACGGGTAAGAGTCCTCGTGGGAGGAACAACCTAAGACAGGCACGGTCGGGTGGAGCCCATTAGGAGAAATCTCAGGGCTGATGGAGGTGGGCATGGGCCCTCACTCGCCCCCCAAAAAGACTGGAGGTTTTCTACCTCTGTAGCTACATTCCTTCCCTCAACCTGCTTGGGAAGTGACCTGATGGTGTGATAGTATCTGTCCTCAGCACAATAATCTTATCTTCCTGGGGTCGTTTTTTTTGTATAGGGTATGTGAAGGCAGAGCATCTGTCTTATCACCTCAGGCGGACTCTCAGTAATAGCAGTTTGCAGGCATGGGTAATCTGGCTTGAGCAAGTTCTCAGGAATGAGACAGACTGTGGAGAGAACAATGCTACTTCCGGGTAGGTGGAGAAATAAAAGCGGTGTGTCGGCCGATTTGGGCCTCTTAGTCCACGAGGCTGGAGACCCTTGGCCCCATGCTCATTTAACTCTTGACTGCTGTTTCTTTTATTTCTTAACCCTTCACCGCCCCCTCTCGTTCTTCCACTGCTCATGTCGCGCGGGACGCAACAAAATTCAAATTAGAGTGTTACAACTTTAGGATGTTAAATGTAATTTCCAAGATAACCACAATGAAAATAGCTAAAGGATACACACAGAAGGAAATGTTTGTTTCACTACGAAAAAATTAAACACAAAAGAAGACAATAAATGCAGGAAATGAGGGACAAGAAAGCTATAAGGCAAATAGAAAACAAATAACAAAATGACAGAAGTCCCTCCTTATCAGTAATTACTTAAATTAAATGGATTAAACTTTCCAATCAAAAGACAATGATTGTTAGAATTGATTTTAAAAAACCATGATCCAACTATATGTTGTCTACAAGAGACTCACTTTAGATCCAAAGACACAAACAGACTTGAAAGTGAAGGAATGGAAAAGGATATTCCATGCAAATAGTAAAGAGAAGAGAGCACCTGTGCTATATTAATATCAGACAAACTAGACTTTAAATAAAAAAAATGTTACAAGAGACAAAAGACATTATTTTCATAAAAGGTTCAATATGGCAAGAAAATATAATAATTATAAACATTTACATACCTAATATCAGACATACATAAAACACTCAACCTAACAACAATACACATTCTTCTCCATGGGACATTTTCCAGGATACATGAAATATTAGGCATATATTGATACAAATTAAGTCCTATTAGATTTTAAAAGATAGATATCATACAAACTATCTTCTCTGACAACAATGAGATGACATTAGAAATGAATAACAAAAGGAAAATTGCAAAATTCACAAATTGTGGAAATTAAACAATAAACTTTTGGTGGGGGGGTGGGAATTAGAGCTCTTCATTTATTTATTTCACCACTATGACTTGAGCACATATTTTGTGCCAAGTTCTGTGCTTGGTGTTAGAAATACGTTGGTGATTCAAAAAAAGAAACATTCTCTGGCCACATGGTGTTAACTGTCTAGCAAAGTCCCTATACCCCTGAGCCCACTGAAATTATTCAAACTAGCCAATCCTAAGCCTGATTACCTTGTCTCACCCATTCCTTCCCATGAAAGCCACAATAAAGGTATTTATCCATGCTTTCCCCTTACTCCCTCTGCCTCCTGACCAACCTTGGTGTTTCCTATGTGGCCTTGCATGTCATGGTATAGCACTCCTCTTGGGAACTGTAACGAACTGTTTTTTTCAGTGCCAATCATCTCCTGATCTGTTGGCCTCACCATACTTAAGTAATAAAACCTACATTTTAAAAAGGAGGGAGCAGAGGGACGTAGGTAGAAGGTGGTGTGGGAGAGGAGGGAAGGAAAAAAGTGGGGAAGGAGGGAGAGAAAGGGGAAGTAGGTAGAAGATATCCTTGTCACTCTTTGCATTTGTCATCTTCCTCCTCTCTCTTTCCTCCACCTTGGTTTCCCCATCATGTCCCCTTTTCTTTTTTACTCCTGGGTTTTGTGTCATAGACAATGAATGATCTTTGAACCTGAAGAAGGAGGCCTCCCACATGAATGAAATTTGGAGATAAAGTCTCCCTTCAGGGGCAGAAGAAGTTGCAGGTTAGGAAACTTGACAGAAAGGATGATGATTAAAAGATGGTCTGAGAAATTTGCATCACATGTCCAGGTTCATCTATGCAACCTCAGGCATAAAGGGAAAGGATTTGCCCTTGGGAGACTGAACCCAGAGAGGTGTCCTTGTGCCTCAGTCAAGTCAGTGCATTTCTTTACCCATCCAGAACAGATGTTTGGAAAACAGCCGAGACCTTTGTGAAAACTGCAGACATTTACTGTGGGAAAGTGCAATGGCATTTTGGCTCAAGTAGAGCTGAGACTTAGGTGGGCTGGAATGTGGTATTTGGCTAAAGTGACCCTAGAAATCCTCTGGGTCCTGGGATCAATGGCCTCCTGACTCTCAGGGATTGGGCCACAGCTCAGCCATTCCCGTTGATTTGCCCTACTATGGGACCCCCACAGTGCAGGATGGGAAGACCAAGTATTCAATTAGGGTTCAGTCGGGCACAGGCCTGTGGGGTGAACTGCCCAAAGCCCCAAGGAGAGGACAAAATAGGACCTCTGAAAAAACATCAGGAGTGGAAGGATTCTGTCAGAGGGACCAGTGTGAGCCTAGGGGGGTGGTGAAGCAGGTCCAACGTCTGGTTCAAGGTTCAACAGGTCAGTTTTCAATGTCCCTGGATTCAGCACATATACTCTCTCCAGTGCTTAGGTGTTCTGGGACAGAGGGCACAGAGGGAAGAACTCTCATAGAAAATTCCTTTGTAGAGATGGCCACAAGGAATAGAAAGTGTTTTTCCACAGGCCAGGGAGAAGGATGAGTGTAGAGGCCAGTGGTTCAGAGGAAGGGACAGTGGTGTGGTGGTGTCCTGGGGATGGTGTGGAGGTAACCAGTAAATTGAAATAATCCACCCAATACCAGAGCAAAAGAATTGCACATGGAAGCTCTAATTTTATATGCAGAACATTCTTTCCCTAATGCAGCCCCACCCACACCCTCCCCAGCTCCAGATGCCTAATGGGAATAATCAGGAGGGGATGTCACCAAAAATGTCAGGCATATATATGGAGATTTTGGCTTTTCTTGTAATTATGACTCACAATTACTCTTCTTCCTTCTTTCTCTCCTGCCTCCTTCATCCTTGATTTCTTCCTTCCCCCTTCCTTCCTTCCTTCTCTCTCTTTTTCCTCCATCTTCTCTTTCTTTTTCCTCCCTTTCTCCCCTGCTTTTCCCTCCATTCTTTCTTTCTCCTTTCTCTTTTTCCTTCCTTCTTTAACCAAACATCCAGTTCACATTCATGCTGTTCCTAGTTCTTTTCTAGGCTTGGGGGAGCACAGAGATAAATATATAGCAGAAACCTGTGTCTTCCAGCTCTCAGCCCAAGGGACTTGTGAATGGACAATTCCAATTCAGCGTGGTTAACACTGGGATAGAGAGATTTAAAGGTCCCCAAAGAGGGGCCGGCCGAGTGGCGCGTTGGTTAGGAGTTGGCTTTGGAAGCCAGCTCTGAACAGCAGGGCCCCGGTTTGGATCCCACATGAGGGCCAGTGACGCTGCGCCCTCTACAGCTAAGATGGTGAACAACAGCTCAACCAGGAGCTGGGCTGCTGTGAGTCGCTGGCGACGTCGTAAGCTGCAGCCCCTGCAGTGGCCTGCCATGAACTACCATGAGTGGCTGGCAGCCAGCATGAGCAGCCGACAGCTGGCGTGAGCTGCCGTGAGCCACCATGAGCAGCCGTCCAGAGGCCGGCGACCGATCTGCCTCACCCAGGAAGAGCACAATGATAATACCAACATGGCTCAGTGAAGCAACGTCCTCCACAACTAGACTGAAGAACAAAAGGACAGCAACCTGTTTGTTCCCCTTTCCCGATTCCTCAATGCTGTTTTCCACCCCCAATTCCCCAATAAAACCTTAAAAAAAATAATAAAGGGCCCCAAAGAGCCCAGGGGAAGAATCACCTAAGAGAATGCTGCTGGACTTGAGCCTTTAATGGATGAATAGGAATTAGGCAGGTAGAGAAGGGGGCAGGGATGGGGGATCAAGGCATCCCCCAGAAAGGGCACAGTAGGTAGTAAAGACCTGCCAGAGTCCAAGGTCTTGGGGGAACCAGAGATGGTCCCTCAGTGTCTCATTTTAATTTCACAAATGGTACCCAGGTTCAGTGGTCTTAACAGCCAGTGTGGAATGAGATCTCTGCCGAGTGGGAGGATCCAAATGGCAGGCTCACTGCTCTTATATTCCCAGTACTGTCTTATGTCAGAAACAGGTTGTTCTTTCATCAACAAAATACTTCTGTTGTTTTAGGAAACTACATCCCCCATTCTAACGTCTGGGTTCTGGGCCTTGAAATCTTGCTGTGAAATCACTGATGCCCTATCTCCTTATATGCATGTCACTGCTGGGCCTAAGAATTTTCCACTTGTGTCTCTTTAGGGGATTTCTATGGGCAGCCTGTCTACTGAACCACTGCCGTGGAACAGTGCTCCTCACAGTGTGGTCTGTGGACCAGTGCTGGTCCATGAGTTCTTGTTATAGGTCTACAATAAGATAAGTACAGAAACAGAAGAGTTGTTTAAGAACTTGTATACAAATTTAACATTAATGTGACATCCAAGCACATGATCGGTTTCATTTTTTATTGCATTTTACAAAAGTATTGATTCATCAGGGATTAGAATTAAAAAAAAATTTATTGGGTAACAGCCATGGTCATTAGTTACACACATTGCTTTCATGCTACAATGGCATAGTTGACTCTTTAATGGCATACCAGCTCACAGTGGCCCATGCAGGGATTGAACTGGAAACCTTGGTGTTATCAGCACCATGCGCTAACTAACTGAGCTAACCAGCCATCCCCTGGAAATTTTATTACAAACCAAACCAAACCAAACCAAGCCAAACCAGTCCTTTACTACATACAGGTGGTGACACTGGTCTAGAACGCAATCAAGATTCAGGACCATGTGCAGTGTTGCCATGGGGACATGGGGGACAGTTCGAGGAATGTAATTGATAATGTTGTGAATATTTTGTAGGGTGTCAGGTGGTCACATGTCTTGCATCATGGATGGGGAAAAGGCTTGATCACTGCACTGTACACCTGAAGCTGATGTTGTAT